AACTGAGTGATGTCAAGAGTATTTATCATTAATTTGAGTTATATTATTACTTTTGATAAAACTCTGTGTACATTGGATTTTGGTTCTCTATGATGTTTCACTGCGAGTATAGTTTCATGGTTGTCTTTCTCATGTGTTCACTGCATTTTGCCAACAGTTTGCGTTAGATGTTTTGGCAAGGGGAGCTGTCAGCTAGTTGGCTCTGAGACTGAATGCTGTTCAGTTGTTTAAAACTAATATTTTCTCTCTCTAGATGTCAATAGTGTAAATGCACATTGCAATTTTTAAGCCAAGGTTTTGTATGGGTAAATGTGGTCAAAATTTTCTCTTGTATGGTAAGTTTATTTTCCTGCAGATATAGAAAGCACTGATTTTGTATAGAAAGAATACAAATGCCTGCATGTTTTGCATTGCCTTGCTTTGCCTTGCTACTAAATAAATCTGATGATTCATAAAAGAAAACTGAGTAGGAGTGTGAGTAGCTTTTACCAAATGACTGGATACTGAGAAATGAGTAGGAAAGCAAAATGTGTAGATTTTTAAATGCGAATGAATACAAATGAGTGACACACAGCAGCTGGAGTAGGAATATGAAATGTTTAGAGGCCTCCAAAATTTCATTGTTTTGCACAGAGACCTGAAAGTGCCAGTGCAGGCCTGGCAGGAAAAGCAGCAGGTGGGATGGGACATAGTGGCTCTCTATTGATAATGATGGTATTTAGAAAGGAAATCCTTGAGAATGTGCCTGCTTAATATCTGTTCTAACATAAGAATTAATAAACAAAAGTGGAAGAAGAATGTAAGTAGTCTTACAGAGGTATTTTATTAATGATATTAAAATATTTTATTAGTGACTTAAGATGAAACGAGAGCATGTGAAGTTGTTGTGCTGTGTAGTAATGGCTATAAGGTGTATTGTTGTGCTAAATTTAAGATCTAAATATAATCCGTTTTTGTGTGTGTGCGTGGGAAAGACTTTTTCAGGTGATGCAATTCCAGCATGCTGCTTTTTTTCTGAGCTTTTTTTTTTGAATAAGTTGGCTTTGGGTTATATTACAGACAGGACATGGGACCAGATAAACTACTTGTCTAATCATGTATCAAATTCCTCTGCTTCCAAAGAMTGGAAATATATTTTGGTTGAATTGTGCACTTAAAAGGTTGTTCAGACTGCAGAATTAATTTTGCCAACCATCTGGCAAGTGGTGTGCATCAGAACCTGTTCCTAACAAGCCAAAGTCATCCTTAAGAATGTTTCACTCTGAACGGAGTATGGGAATTTCAGATGAGTTGTAGAATTAAAGAATAATTTGTTTTGAAATGTTTGATTTCTTTGCTTAGAAGCTGAATTTATTAAGTTTTGTATTTCATGGATGGGGTTTCATATTTCATGGTAGTGTTCTAATAATGGCCTAAACCTAACAAAATAAAATGTAGGATATTTCCACGACTGCATAGTAGGTGAAAATTGAGACATAGCATAAGATTTTCCTTTGCTGATTAAGATTTTTTTTTCTCTAAATACACTTTTTTTTATCACTGTAAGGGAAATGTTAATGTGGCTAATTCTGAAATTGTATCATGAAGAGATCATTACCCTAATTTAGCATGCGTGTGAATTTTTCCAGACTGAAGGAGTGGCTGATGCCCCAGACTGAAGGAGTGGCTGCCGTTCAGAGGGTCCTGGACCAGCTGGAGAGATGGGCAGAGAGGAACCTCATGAAGTTCAACAAAGGCAAGTGCAGGGTCCTGCCGTTAGGGAGGAATAACCTTCCTAGGAATAACCTCCGTAGTACAGACTGGGTTTGACCTGCTGGAAAGTAACTGTGGAGAAGGACTTGAGGATCCTTGTGGACAAGAAGTTGACCATGAGCCAGCAATGTGCCCTTGTGGTCAAGAAGGCCCATGGTCTCCTGGGATGCATCAGTAAGAGCGTTGCCAGCAGGTCAAGGGAGTGATGCTTGTCCTCTACTCAGCCCTGGTGAGGCCGTGTCTGGAGTGCTGGGACAGTCTGGGCGCTGCAGTACAAGAGAGACATTAAATTTCAGGAGTGACCCCAGCAAAACTCCTCCAAGATGGTTAAGGAACCTCCAAGGAGGTTAAGGAACCTCCAAGATGGTTAAGCCTCTCATAAAAGGAGAGGCTGAGTTCCAGGTGAACTAGGTGATCCCTATAGACCCTTTCTAACTCCACTATGAATACAATTTTTTGTACTTGCTCTCTTGCTGGAATTGTACTCTTTTCCCATTGATTTTTTTTTTTTTAATTTATGTACAGATACTTGGATGTCAAAAGCAAATCGCAGGTGAGTGAGGCCTTCCTAAATCCTGGATAAGAAGGGAGGAGAAGTAGTTTTGCTTATGCATTTGTCTCTTCCTGCATGAAAAAGAGAAAGCTCAAATACTAAAGGTTAAAAATTCTAATCGAACCATGTGCAAAAATCCTCAARAATTATCTTTTAGAAGTATCAAATAACGTACAACATTCTGCCTCCTCCCTCCAAAAAAAAAAMAAAGGCGGAATTGAGACAGATTTAGAGTTTGAAATGAGCAAGATGTTCTTATAGGTATAATAAAGCACATTTGGGAAACTGTGTTGAGCAAACCTTTTGCTTTTTATCTGGTATATTCATGGTATTATGCTCTTACTCACTTTATCTAGAACAACTGTTTGAAATTGTACTGAACAACACTGGGAAAAAAAAGAACTATTGAATATTTCACATAGCAAAAATAATTTCTCTACAAATATGTCGTATAAGATTAGAGAATCAAATACTAGGGGGGAGGCTCCTCTGAGGAATAACAGTGAAGTGCTTGAGTTTGTTTTATTGTTTCATGTTAATGAATACAGGGATTTCTTCTCATTTTAAATTTAAAGGGTAGATAAATAACACGCTATATAGCTATGAAATTGGTGAATACTGTTATTTATGGAGAACTTGAAAGAGAAGCTTGCTCTTTATGGGCACATGAAGCATGTTCTTTGGATCGTTTATAGTCCAGTAGGGTAGTGGTGAAGTGCCTGTTTCTACAAAGGACAGGAGGTTGATGGCACTCTCTATAAATAACGAGTGCAGTTAACTACTGCAGGAATATGTTGGAGCTGGTTTTCCTCTTCCCTGTGAAACCTGAGTAGTTTTAGGGCTGAACYGCTGCCCTTCCAAGCTGTGTGGTCTGTTTGGGGATGGGAGCACACGACTACGGGCACTTACCCTCTCTCAGTATGTGCTTTTCTGCAGGTGTCCCAGGCTTCTGGCCTGCACTAAGAGAAGATGAGGTGACAGCTCTGAAGCCGGCCCGGGATTTCGCTGCCCTCAGACCCCTGTGAAGGGAAGCAGCCACAGGGTGGCCGAAGCTGGCCTTGCTGTTAGGGACGATGCCGCGACACTGCACGCGGCGTCCAGAGATGATTTGGGGGTTTTAGTCATCTTGCCAAAGGGCAAAGGATGATTTTTGAGATTGAATCTTTAAAAAATATATCTCAGAAGGTTTGTGCTTTGGAAACTACTATTTAAGGGTAGACCGTGCTTTAAATGCTGCTGTTTATGAAGCTGAAGTCACTCTGAGGTAATTTGTTAGGGATTTATGTGACAAGATATCATATCTGTCGGAACACTTAATGTGAAGTAAAAGCAGGGAACCTTTCGTAGCTGGATTTCCTTTGATACACCTCTTTTTGGGCCAAGGCTGCCCTAGACAAAGCCATGTTATGTTATTCATATTGTAAAGTCAGGTTTAGTACTTACCCAGCCAAACCAATACTAACATTATAGGTCGCATGCCTGAATGAAGACTTAGAAGTGTACGGCAGAAGAGAGCCCTTTGGTACCTGTCTTCTCCAGAAATGTGTTCTTATGGACTGGATCCTCCCAAAACAAAACTCTGGCTGGATCCAGTAAAAGTTCTGGGGGGATGTGCAGACTTGGGAGTCTTTAGGGGTTCCTGCAGTGCTGCTTTGCCAAGGCTGGTGCCCCTGTGGGACACTTAAGCGTTAAAAGTCACCATACATTGCCATTGCTGCTCTTAAGGACCTGCCAGGCTCGCCATGCAGGTGCGCTCAGTATTGATTTGATGTTGAAGAGGGCCTGGCCTAGGTGCGGGCATGGCAGAAGCAARGCTTTTCTGCTCTAAAAAAATCCTCTAAACCCCAGCAAATGTGGATGCCTCAAGGCTTCCTCTGCGGTGCCAAGGGCTGTGAGCTCCCATTTTCCCTGGCTAAATSATAAGTAGGGCTTCCACATACAGACAGCTGAAAGGAGAAGCGAGGGCATGAAAGGAGGCAGGAGGAGGGATTAATCCAATGCACCAAAAGGGAGCTAAGCACCCCCACCCCCCTKCCCAAATTCCAGAGATACAGGGGGAGATGTTATAAAGCAGGCTCAGTTTCTAGCAGCTTGATCCTCGCTTTTGTGCATGCTTGGCTTTGTGTGCATGGATGTCCTGTTAGTAATTATCATTCTGTTGACACCTGCATTCACAATGACACCCCCATATCACATTTTCGTCGCAGCACGAAATACCGCTCTCTTTGCTTTTGTTTTGCTTTGTGCTATGAATTTAACCCAGAACTGAAAAAGCTAGGCACTTCTCACAGCACACAAGGGTACATTGATAACCCTCCAGACTAGCTACTGATCCTATCTCAGTGCTTCTCTCTCTCTCGCTCCTTCCTCCCGCCCCTCTTTTTAAGAAGACAAGGTTTTCCCTCAACAAGCTGATGACAGAATAATCTCTCCAGGTTGATTGTTTGCCCCATATGGACCTCTGGAGATCTTCATACAGTGGAAAGAAGGAGATCAAAAGGCTGCAAGAAAAAAGAGGTGGAGGACTGAAAAAAGCCACCATAAAGATCCTGCTCAGGTTTCAGTCTGGTGATGAACAGGCTTGTAAAGTATTCTGAGACCTGTCAAATTTTCCCATCTACAATCCAGACCTATTTTAAAAAGATTTTTCATAATGAGTCTCTTCTCCCCCATCCACAGGCTCAGAGTGTTTTCAGAAAAAGTTCTGCAAGGCAGAGAAGTTGAGCACTTGGTCACATGCAGGAGCACAGGATAGATGGAGTACAGCTGACTCAAGAGCTACAGGGAATTTGGGTAAGTGCCCACCATGTCAGCCACCTGGAACTTATTAAAATAATGGTAAAATCCATAAAATCAAATTATCCATTGCCTTTTTTTTCTTCTTTTTTTTTTTTTTTCTCCTTTCTCCCTCTCCTTATCACTTATAAGGCAAGGTTAACCTCACTGGTAAATCTCAGTAGGAGCTGGTCAGGGAAGAAGTTCACAGGCAACAGCTCATGAAAACAGGAAAGCAAATTAGCATCCAGCTGTGAAGAGAGATGTGATTTCTTTCTCAACTTAGCTTTTATTTAAAAGTACCCAGACCAGACATGTGCTCCTAATGTGAGCAGGAGATGGTTACAAACCCCTTGTGGTGCTGCAGTTACCTCTCAGACCTTATCCAGGTGCTTGCAGGAGGGGAACAATTGCCCGAAGGAGACAATGTTATCCAGCTTGTGGTGTCAGTCAGCTGGTTATCATAATCATTGCGTTGATGGAGTAAAATTTTGATAAGCAAGGCTTCTTATCTGTCTCCCACTGCAGTCRAATGACATGAGTTTGTTTAGTGGAGATGACATTGTCTCCGGTCACAAAGGTGACTGGACATGATAATCACTCCTCCTTTCTAAAAAAAGTAATAATAATGATTATATTTTTGAGTGAAGATACAGGGATTTGAAATCAAGTCTTTGGTTAAGATGGTGAACTGATACAGTCCAAATTGATGTAKTTACTGTAATTTGCTACATACTGCAAAAGGAAACTTTATTGTAGTCTGTGAGCAGTAAAAGATGGGTCTGTTAGCCCTGCTTGTGTGCTCTAGATCAAAGAGCACTTTATCAGCGTGTCACATACTTGGTTTTCTTTCATCTAAGTCCTGAGCAGTATCCCTCAGGCTTGTTTTAGAGTTTGGTTTGCAAGTTACTTCAAACTGTGATTTGCCTTTTTTTTTGAGCAGAACGCAAAACATGGTGAAAGAAATATCCATAAATGAATATTTTCTATTTCACTATAGAAAATTTTGTCTTTTTAGATATAAACCTGGGAACACCGAGCATATGCTCCAATTTCAAAGGTAACCCGTAGTATTGGATACTTTTTTAGGGGGAGAGATTAGCAGCATTATTTATCCCAAACTTGTTGATCTTTTGATGATTAGATAAGGCCATACTGTACTGCCAGTGTGTTCTACAACTTTATTGCATAATTTCTATTCCTAAAGTAGGGAAATTAAAGTCAGCCTGATGCCATAAACTTACTGCTTTTTGTCAGGGAAACCTTATTTTAATGATAACTTTTCAAGCTGCAACCAGATGGCTGCTGTATAATCTACTTGCTAGTGACGCCAAGCATTATTTACTGAAGATTTATATTTATATTGCTGTCTTCAAAAAGATTACAAAAAAAAAAAAAAGTAATTAAGTAGTGTTACTCATTTAGGTCTTTATCTGCCCGTGTGACTGCAAGGCTCCTGGGACAGGCAATAGGATTAAGTATCTCATTACTAGCTCAGTGGCTTTGAATCCAGACCATGGTTAGAGGCATCCGAAGACCATTAGCATCTGATGACTCTTTGGTGGCCTATATCAAGTGATTTGATGGTCTCTGTAAATTTGCTAGCTAATAGGACCCCATAATGATCGGTGGCCTGAGAAGAAAATTGGTAGACCAAACRTGTGTGCTTTGAGAATGTATTTTAAGCTTAGAAGCATCCTGTTCATTCCGGCATCTGGGGATGCTCCTGGCTTGCCCGTGCAGGATTGTTTGTTGCTCATGAATTTCATTCTAAAGATCTTAAGACTTCAGCCTCCTGCTAATTTGTAAATTGGCATCTCTCTGCTAAAACTGACCAAGGAACATAATTTAAAATAGGAGCAAGAGAGAAAAGTCATCTCACTCATATCCTTCATTTCCTTCATTTCTATTTTGAATTCTATTTTGGATTAATTAACCAAACTATTAATTAACCAACTCTTTTGATAATAATAATAATAATAATAATAATAATAATAATAATAATAATAATAATAATAAAAAGTAGCCGTCCTCTTCTGTTTTATATATAGTATCCAATGCATAGTTGGTGACGTATGATGGCTGATTACAGGACGGTCCTTGTTCCATTATCTGTTAATTTTAATCATTAAGTATAATTTTTTTTCTTATTAATGATATTCTTTTGGCCGGAGTGGTGACTGGAAAATCCAATACTACTTTTTAGTTTAGCTTTATATCAGTTCAGGTGTGCAGTGAATTTAATGGGCTGTTCGTTTGCAGTAAATTTATATTCTTGACATTTCTTGTTGGGTTCACCAAAGTTACACTAAGGGATCTAGCTTTTAATACACAAGAGTTTAAACAAGCAAACAAAAAATTTCAGAGCTAAGGGCAAAAAGTCAATCCATATGGGTTTTAATGATTAAGAGAAGTTGAAACTTTGTAGGCTAAGAAGATCCTTTCCGATTACTGCATCAGTCTTCAAATCTTAAAGTGAACTTTAGGTCTCCTGCTATGCCTATTTATTCATTTATTTTCTCCTCTATTCAGTAGGCAATGTGGAGAGTGTGGAAGTAAGAGGGTTTTCTGTTTTGTTTTTCAGAATTATGTAGTTAGAGTCCAGTAAATCATTTCCATCAGCCCAGTTTTCCTCTCAGATCTCCTCTCACTGACAGCATTTTGCACTTCATATCTCTGTGAATCTCCTTTGGGAAATAGTGATTAATTCATGCAAGTTGGAAGAACAGCAGAGTTGGAAGGACTACATTTCCTTTGTGGTTGAGGATTTTTTTTTCACTTTTGAATTTCATACATCTTTTCATGTCTTGTTGAGGCACCTAATAGCCATGGAGTGAGAAATAGCTAGTTTCAAATGTAAATTTGAAATGTTTAGCCTATCCATCAGATGCGTAGTATCACTTACCCACTTTTATTGTAGGATATGATGGTTATGATTTGTAAAAGACTTGCATTTCCAGAGGCCTTAGGCCTTTTAAATGTCTCAATACGTCTTGACAGTATTCCCTGTGAAACAGTTTATTCAAATAATTTTTGTGAGACAGCAAAACAAGTATTCTGGCTGTCTTTAAATTAGAATTCAACTGTTTCTTTGCTATAAGCATAACTATAATAACATAATCTGGAATAGGATGGTGGAAAGGTAGCCAGAACATTTGGAGTGTATTTTACTAATGGATGTAAGAAACAGCTAAAATAACTCTATTTAGCACACAGTGGAAGACAAACAGATTGTTCTTCCATTTCAGGCATCTTAAAAGCAAATGTAGAAAATCAAAATGTTTGGTCTCTTGCACAAATAGCTGTGGGGTACATTTATGTTTTAATTACTATATTTCAGTATTAATCTAATGTTAATGTCCTCAGTTGTACTGCTTTGCATGGATTTCTTGGAAATGTTTCATATAGTCCTTCATCTGATCACTCTGTTTTTTTACCTTGTAAATATGTGGTTAGGKTTTTTTTAGTAATTTCTTTTAAGAACAGATTATAAAACTTCAGTGCATCCAGAGATCTCTAACAACAGTGAACAAAGAGAACGTGTTTATTTTATTTTGAACTGTGTGTGTATAATGCCTTTGACTGTCCACTCATCATAAACATGTAACTTCCATTGCCATTAATAGACTTTGTAAAGACTAAGGTGTATCTTTCGGTTCAGCAAGGCTTAGAATGGCAAGAATTACTTTTCAATTTGTAAGAGAACTGTGAATTGTTTGCATATAAAYCTGCTTATGGTCTTGAACTTCAGTCTTCCATGTAGCACTTTAGTCCAGTTTGAAGTTTTTTTAAACTGACCACACTTCAGATTGAAATCTAGTAATTTTTGTGCGGCTCCATTTGCAGAGAATAATGTCTTTCTCTTTCCTTTYCTCTTCCCCTCTCCCCATYGCCCCTCCCCGTTTTATTTCTTTATTTTTAAAAGAAATTGTCAAAAAATTGTTCCATAAGCACATGCTTCATTTATAAAATCTGTTGGCATTTCAGATGTTAGTTATAATTTAGTTTCTGTTCAGGTAAAGCTTCCGCTTAATTTTAGTGGAGGCTTAAGTAGGGCTTAACAACCAAAATCAATGTGTGCTGAACAGACAGTAAATAGGTAGTATACTAACCAGGGATATAGTAAACACTTTACCCATTAAAACCAAACCAAAACTAGCCTATTTTTCCCCTTTTGGGATTACAAGTTTGTTTGCAGGTTTGACTATGTTGCTGGTTAGGTTTTGCAGCCTTCCATTTTGGAAAGTACTGACCTTGATGGTTTTATTATGTGTATATATATGTGTGTGTGTATGCACTTATGCATTATATGTATATATATTGTTATATGTAAATGATATATCTATACCATGCTATATATATGCTATATATTGTATTTATCAGATATAGGTATAGATACATCTATTAATCCTGAGAAATTCTTTGCACCTCAGGTAAAGTCATGCCCTTATTTCTATTAATAAGCCTTTTGAAAAATGAAAGGATCACTGGTGATGCATTGTTCAAAATGGGTACCCTAAGTTTCCAAGTCTTCCAAGTCCTATTTTATCAGAATCTCAAGACCCAAGGAGGAACAGAAAGAAAAGGAATTGAAGACTGCAGTGAAAACACTACTTTGTATARTCAGCTATAACATACTGTATACGTGTTACTGATGAAGTATTTCAGGTAGATGGTTGCTCTTCTCTTTATGTCCCCCAGTTAGATGAYGGCAAATGACCCAGCACAGGTCTAAAAGGAAAGCAGTTGTGGAAGACCTGGCAAAGCTACGGTTAATGTAATTCACACTATACAAGAGAGTGCAGATGCTGAGACGACAGAAGCCAAAAGACAAAGTATTCCRTTTTGAGATGACTGTGAGATATATTGCCCATCAAGTAATATAAATTATCTTTTGAAATATTTTTATGAGTGAAAGTAATATTTGTGTTCTGTTACTTGTAGGGACCTTATACACGCTGTTAGGGAGCATTTAGGCAGTTACCAGGTGTATATGAAATGCTTTCAAATGTTTCACCAAACTCTATCATGAGTATATCACATCTACAATTTTCAGTCCGGTTTTCATTATTCCCTTTAATTATTTTCTGTTAGAAAATCTTACTCAATAAGGAGGCATAAATATTAACTTGTTATTTTGTAGAACTGTTGCATTCTGTGAATGGAAGATGGAGCACAAGCAATAAATAGTAATTTATTCTCATAAAATACAGATGAATATGTGAAGTAGATAATACGCAGAAGTCAGGACTGTCTCACAAATGAATTTTCATGAAAATGTAGGGCTCAATCAGTAGTGAATATTGTTCGTAATGGAAATTTTCTGAAGATCCTTTTGAATCTCAAGAAAGGTAGTAAAGGCAAGAGGACAAATGAATGTCAGGTGATACAAGAGTGGGGAAGAAGGGGGAGTCTAGGCAGGCAAAACCACCGGTGTTCCACAAAAATCAAATACTAAATTGAATGCAAAGTGGCCTTTGTTTTAGTTATAAACATCTTTATTATGAAATTTGTGCACACTTTTTGAAATGGGAAGATTTGTGAAAGCAGAAGGAAGGCTTTATAAAATGGTGAAAGTTAATTTGAGGAGAGTGCATTGCAACTGTTTACCTTTTTGTACTCTTCAGTGACATGCAGTATGGAAAAGTAAGACCTGCAGTATGACTCAGTCCTGAATATATAAATAACCTTAAAGTAGAGATTCATAACCTGTCTGCTTCAGCATGCAGAAAAATTAGTCATTTTACTCCATTGAAACCTAAATATTTTGGACTTGGAAGTGTTTTTTCTTTTTTTCTTTTTTTCTTTTTTTCTTTTTTTTTTCTTTTTTTTTTCTCTCTTGTTATCAGTTGTATTAGAAATCTAAATGAATCACAGTTCATTAAATTATTTATTAACCAGTTTTGATAGGTCTTTAAATCCCCAATTATCTCTTTCTGTAGTCTGTCTTTAAAGATCTCTTTTGTCATTAGAGCTCAAGTTAGTCATCAAGTGAACTTTTTTTGGTGTCAGTGAAAATCCTACACGAAATCTCATCTTCATTTCCAAGTACATCCTTTCCTAAATAGAAAATGCCAAAACTATTTTGAAGAGATCTAAAGATGGATCTAAAGATGGATGGGTGGATGTGGAAATATACAGAAGTAAAATGATTTAAGTAGCTATGAGAAGATTTTAGTGCTCCTAAGTACTACAGAGGAGTGTCACAAATAAGAGTGGTAGATTATGAAAACAAAAGAGTTCGTTGAAGATGCTTAGCATAGAAAAATGGGAGAAGAGAAGAAGAACCCCAATGAGAGCTCTGGGTACGTCAGCAAAATGTACCCAGTATATCAGCAAAACTCGGCTTGTCTATTAAGAGTTTCAGAGCCTGAAAGGATCAGATTTCCCTTGCAGTACGATATTGTTTCTTTTTGAATGATGAAACTGTCTTTATAGTTGTATTTTAGCAACTATATTGCTAATATTGCTGCTGGGCAATATTTATATACATATATGTGTGTGTGTGTGTGTGTGTGTGTGTGTGTGTGTGTGTGTGTATGTATTTAGAAACACTGAGTTTTTTCCCTCAAAGGAGAGCTAAACACTGCATGTCAGGTTAAAGGGAGATTTGGTAGAAGGGCCTTCTAAATGTCTTCTACATGACTGTGGCTGCAGGATTGTAAACAGCACTGTAGCTGACACTTGAATATTTACTTTTTCTCCCTTTTTTTCCCGAAGGAGAATTTTTTTTTCATGTTTGTGTAATGACAGCAAGACTTTGGTGTACTGTTACTATTTTGATAAAGCATTCTGTTTTCGTCAATTGAGTGAGATAAATATTCAGCAATATCAGTATGGTACAAATCTTTTGCCTAGGATGGCTATATAAATCAGGGAGACTGGGAATTTAGCATTTTAAATTGAGAAATTGTTTGCTGGAGGCYTTTAGCAACAGGCTGGACAAACAGGAATGACAAATATTGCTGATTTTACTTTGGGGTGGAAAGATAAGTAAGAGTGGCCTTAGGGTACTTTCTGGCTTTCTAGCCATGCAATTTTCTCAAGAGAAATTTTCTGGCCATGCAGTTTTCTCAACAGAAATAAATAAAGCTTGTTCCTAACTTTTATTTTATTTATTTTTTTTAACTAAAATGAGCAGAAGTCAGCTCAGCTCGTGATGTGGATCTGCATGTTAATCCATACGCAGATGAATCAATAGCCAGTAAGCCAGCAGAACATTAATGGTTGTATTAGTCTGACTTATGCTGGATGTTTTMTCCCTCCTCAGAAACACATCAGCAAAGATTAATAATCAGAATTTTAGAATTTACTGTAAGTTCTGCTTTTCATCTAAAATAATACCAATTRCAAAGGTAAAAACACTSTTTTTTTGAGTATCATTAAATCCTTTTCAAATATATACATATTTTYCCCCCCCTCTTCCTTGTAGCAAGAAAATACCATGGCAATTAAGAAACTGAAGTCAGATTTATACCTCGGTAAATTRCCTTTGATTTATTACAGCTATAATGGATATTGGACACTGGAAGCTAGCTCATATACAACAGAATAATAATTGTGCTTTATCCGAGTAACTGTTGTAAAGCAGAGGAGAGGCTCTGTTACACAGGAGAGATGTCAGTATGTTTCTTTTGAAATAGAATGCAAAATTTTATAATTCAAAAAAAAACAAAAAGGAAAAAGGCCCATAACACAATACCTAGTTTTCCACCTGTGAGTGATGGAAAGGGTTAGCAGATCATGAAAAATGCAGAGGTTTCTTAGCAACCGAGTTAAGAATTTTATTCCTTTGCATGTGCTTTCATAATTCTTTATTAACGTTACCTGCAGATGTTGTCAGGCTCCACAGGGATCTAATGGGAAAAAAAAAAAAAGAGTAGAGGGTCAAAGATGGCTTTCGTTTAGTGCTCTGTATCCCCTGGAGGTTCAGTGAGACTACGTTACTGCCATGGATCAAGTGCTGATTTGGAATTTGTGTGAATGTTGCAAAGCAAAACTTCTTTTGCATAGGATAGCAAGAAGTACACCTGTGTGASGAAATTCATACCAGGAAATTATAGCAGAGTGTTTTCATTCCATTTTTATTCCGTGCACTTCTGAGTAGAGTTGTCCAGGAGTGAGTCTGAATGCCCTTTTGATCTCTTAGGTAGAGTTTGGCTCCATGGTTGGGTCTAGTTGGGTTGTTTTCTGCTAAGGAGCACTTAGGAGAGCATCCCAGCATTAATATCTCTCAGTACAAGTCTTTAAATCTCAAGTTTGTATTCTCTGTGATCCTGATGTGAAATCTAGTGGAAGCCTTTCTGTGAATTTCAGGAGGCTTTAGCTCAGACCCCTGTCTAGCCAGAAATGATCCAGTTACAAGAGTGGATGTTGGGCTCAGATACACTCTCCCAGTGCTGTTGCCAGCTCCTCTTGGCAAGCATGATAGCTGCTTGCCATGCTTGGTGTGGCTGCCTCCAGGTGCTTTGTGTCCATGAGGAGTTTGGATCTCCACTCAGAGGACATCAACACCTCCAGATCTATGGTGTTAGAGAAAGCAAACCTCCTCAGTAAGGGTGTTCAGTTTCTGTCTAGGAAAACTGAAAGCTTTGCAACTGCTGTATTTGGGTTCCAGGTTAGCAGAGAGGTTTTATATGACTATAAAATACTCTAAATATATTAGATATAATATATTATATAATATATAGATATAATATATTAGATATAATATATTATAATATATCTAAATATATTAAGTAATACTTAAATCCATGGACATAGCCCTCAATGCTTTGGGACGTTTGTAACAAATACATGTGAATCAGACTTATTTTCATTTGTGCTGCAGGTCTTTTCCCAATAGAAAGAATTACTGAAAATATTAACAACTTATTTGTTTTTGATCTTTGTAGTCTGATTGTCAGATATGATTTAAGTARATGAAAGTTTCTACGTTGGCTCAGTATGTGAGCTCAATGCATTTGCTCGCATTCTTCAAAGACTGGATTTTTGATCATTAGACTTGGACTAACTTCTTAGGCCTGAGAATTAAACAACAAATCATTTCTCTCTATTGCCAGTTTTCAAGGACGTGCATGAATTAACTATTGTTCTGTCTAATTTAGTATCCTTTCTCTAACTTTTTTTTTACAAGTAAAATGCCAAAAAGGGCAATTAATGTGTAAATACCTAAACACTTCCATAATCTATTAATAAGTTTTATTTTGGGTGGGAAGAAGGGGTTGTATGTTTGTGTTTTCTTTTTTTTTTTATACCATCTTGTGGTATCTCTTCTGCTGCAAGTTGCAATTAACCACCATAGAAGTTAATAGAAATCACCCATTAYTTGGAAGCAGAGAAGTGGGCCCCTTTCTTAAAAGTCTATGATCTTTATTCCCCGCTCCTTTGGAGACCATCTCCTCCTGAGTGTTAAATGTTTGCAGTAAGTGTCTTTAATGCAATGAACAGATGCATGTAATAATGACCTGATGTTTTGCTAGGTTTTGCAATGGAACAGGTATGGTTACTGCTCCTGCTGACAGTTAAAGTGCTTTCGGTGACTGCTCAGTTCAATGGATACAACTGTGATGCTAACCTTCATAGCAGGTTTCCTGGTAAGTATTTAATAGACTTCCTCGTAATGGCTTCTTTATTGTCTTGGTTCAAAGTAGGGATTATTTTTAAATACGAAGCTTTAAATCTGTGTGGTGCCTAGGGATAGGACTTCACATTTAATGAGTGTGAAACGTCTCAGTGACAATGAGCTTCTCTAATGTTGCACTTTACATTTTTATTAATGCACAATGGGCCAAATTCAGGCTAATATTAATGAAGAGTACTTCCCTGACACCCATGGAGTTTGACCTGCTTTTACCAGAGCTTTATTCTGTGTAAAGCATTCACTGGTGGTCACAGTGCTGGAGATCTTCATTAAGGATTTAAGAATTTGACACTTATAACTGGGATTTTTTCATGTTTTAATTGGGTAAGGTAATATGATATATGCCCTCTTACTGAAATACCTGGAAAAAAAAAAGTATATATAAAATTTCAAGGAAGATGCATTTGAAGGCAAAATTCAATGACTCAATTCTTCATTAAGCCTATGGCTAGGGAGAGCTGCAGCAATGGGATGTATCCTATATAAAGTACACTCATACCCTTGTGAAAAAACAGGGGTTAAATTGTGTTGGGGATATAGATGCCCAGAGCTCCCCATACAATGAGAACTGGAAATGAAATTTCAGTCTTGGCAATATGTATGTCAGAGTTTACCTGGCTAAAGGATGTTTTAGCCTCTGTTACGTGGTTTATTCTTCCTCTTTCCTCTGCTTCTTGGACAGAATAATAATACTGCAAATACCTTCTGGTATTCGTATCCTGTTTTTCTGAGACAGCAATTGAATCAAATGGTTTAGTGGCGACATTATTATGCTGTAAAACCTTTCACTGTTGTTGTTTTTCTGAATAATAATAGCTTTGATTTTTTTTTCTCCCCCCCAGACAGGATTAGTTCTTTTATTAAATCTGAATCATCAGAAAGCCTTCCATCTGTATTTACTGTTACCTGTGTTAGCACCACACTGCTAGGGGCTTTGTGGAAATAAAAACCAACAGCGGGTTTGATTATTTTTATACTTAATAGGTGTGAATATGGAGAGTAGAGAAATGCAGGACATGCAAAGAAGATCAAACAGATTTTCTTCATCACTAACAAAAATTTCTGTTTAACTGATCTTTCACAAACATGCCTATAAGTCTCCCTTCTTAGGCAAAATTTTATGAGCATCCCTGGAAAAGTGTGAGTGGATTGTGCCTATCTATGTCAGATCCATATTTCATAGTTTTTCGTGCAGTCTTTGTCCTACTACAGTTTCAAGTTTATTGAGAGGATTTCAACGGCTGGAGGGAAGTTCCGATTCCTCTTTCTRTGTTTGCTTGTGGTTTTCCATTAATTCTGTTTTTATTATTTTTCTGTAGTAGCTCTCTATCAAGGAGATATTTGCAGTGTGATACCCATGAATTTTAGACAGCCATTACTATGAGCTGTTAGGGGCTGCTTATTGTCTTCTACCTCAAAAATAGACAAACAAGCAAAAACATGGACTCCAATATGCCCTTTTTTCCCTTACCCTTTTCYGATTTCTTCCCATGGGAGATGAGAATTGAGCCATATGCTTTCCTGTTTGTGACTTTCAAGCAGTAAAGAGAAAGCCTGGAATTCAGTTAGCCATTTTAGTGCTGATTTTGTGAGCTAAGGAAGAAGAGTTCTCTTATATTAGGCATGCACTGTGAGGTTTGTGTGGTGCTGCTGGTTTATTTATTTTTATTTTATATTTTAAAGCCCCTTATCCTGAAATTTCTGAAGRCAGTATTTTCAGCTTGCAGGAGGGCAATTACTGTGTAATTCAATGAGACTCGCGGAGCTTTGTGGGGTGGGTGGGGATCTTTTTTGTGGCTTCAGGATCCCCCAGAAGATGGGTGAGAAGTTTGTGCTGGGCAAGGCAGACTTTTTGTCCACTATAATTTCACTAGATCCAGGACTCGTTTCYGACCTTGACCACTGACTGCTTTCAGAGTTCAGAAATGAACTGAGTGGGGGAACAAGAAGATCAAAGCAAAAATGCTTCCAAACTGGATTTTTGAGGTTGTGATACTGCTCACAGAGCCTTTGGATATGACCCTTTTTTCCCCTGTTCTTTATTTCTTCTGCATAATGGCTTTTCATAGTTGTCAATGTGAATTCCAGAAATGGACTGCGAGGGGATTTTCTGGCTGAGGCCTGTGGTAGAGATTGCAGAGATTTTGTTGCTGGTTAAAGATGTTTTCCTTTCTCTCCCCCTGTCCTCTTCCCCTTTTTTTTTCCCTTAAAATTCATGAAGGACAGAAATTCAGGAAGTTAGTCCTCAGCAAAAAGTAGAAATTAAGCCTTCCTAAAGGAACCCCAGTGAAGGGGCAGTGGCTTATCCGTTTCTAATTTGGTTCTTACTACCATTTCAGTGACATCTGTACAGGATGGTGCTGCACGAGTAAGATGCCTGCTAATTAGGCAGSCAGTTGTTTCCAGTTGTTTTATTTCTGTTATTTACAGTTTTGTTTTAGAGTGTAGGTGTGAAATGGCTGTGCTGGAGAGAAAACATCCTGGTAGATAGAAAATTCTGTGGATTGTTACAATACAGGATAGGTATTTTGGAGAAAATGCAGTAATGTCAAATCTTGCCATTATTTGAAGATGCAAGAAGAGCACATTTGTTTCCTGATAGCATTTGACAATTGTTAATTTGGCTCTAGTTCTGCCTTGCAGTAAGTAAAAGCATTGGTATTGGAGTGGTTTGGAAGAGCGGAACCGCAGCAGCGTGGCTGACTACAGAAAGGGAAACCCAGTGATTTTGTTCATGAAACCCTTGTTGTAAATGTTGCAGATTTTGCACATCCACCACATTTTAATTCACTATCAAAGCAGTGGTTCAATCCAAGAAGCGGCTCACATAGAGCAGAAAACTGATTTTAAATAYGTATCTTTGACCAAATAATTTAACTAAAAAAGGTGCACAATGCTCTGAAGAGCTATTGTCAGATCTTCTGCTAGATGGAGAGCAATTCTTGGTAATGTGTGGAGGGGAAGCATAGCAGGAGTGGGCCGCAGACTTGTCTACTGATGTTATCATGAGTCTCTTAATCCCAGATGGCCTCTGTTACCTCAGTATCCAGGTGCCTCAGGAACATGGTGTTTTGTGTGTGATTTGCATGAGAAAGGCAGAGTGCTTTGTCCTCATGGCCACCCTGTGACAAAGAGGCTGGTACACTTAAGGCYGTGTCAAGCCTGAGCTGTGTGACCAAACCTTCAACCTGCTCTCCTCTCTGCTACTAGAAAAGAAGTGTTTGCAGACAGAAACTAAGCTTTTTCATTTAAACTCATATAGGAGAAATTTTTAATTCAAGAGAAGCGAGCAAGACTTTTTTTTTAATATCTTATGTGATATTATTTCTGTTTGCATCTGGTTTCAGGTACACTTCTGAACCAATGCTGTGTATTTTTGAGTCCAGAATTGACAAATTCAACAGCAGTACTCCCTTGTAGAGTGGTAGGGGAAAAGGTACCATCTGGTACAGTGGCTTTCCTCTTGCATGGTGCAGAGGTCCATTTATATTGTGTGTGTGGTCTCAATCCTCTTAGGATCAAAGAGCAATATCTTACCTTACCAGTAAGGTAATATCCTGCTTTTTAAAGCATTTGAAGTGAGTTTAAAAAATTGTGGGCTACATTACATCACTCTTCCTATTTGCAGTGTGTTGCTATCTGACTGTTTGTGCAGTGGTTCAGTTAAGTGCCATAGGCTTTTTCTCTTCTTGCCTTTCCCCTTCTGTCTCTCCCATCATAATAACATCTTGTTATGGCAGTCTCCTTACAGTGGATACCAAAGCATGTGGCTTCTTGTCCTTTGTACCTTAGGTAAATTGTTTTACATATATGTACAAACCAGGAGAATTTTCTGGTGAATTGCTTGAAACCTGCTGTTCTCTTTGAAGGTAAATGGGAGCAGTAAAGTGCTAGAGGCAGTGTTGAAGACCACAGTAGCTCAGAAGAGAGTTTAGCCAGTTATTTCCTGTGCTTGGTTTGGCGTTGATGCCCCTATTAAAGCAGTGTAAATTAAAATGCCTGTGCTCCTCTGTGATGAAGGAAGAGCCCACTGGTTGTAATGGAGCCTTTGTGTCCTCTCTGTTCTGGCACTGCAGCAAAACAATTAATTTCAGCAGGTTTAATGGTATGATATTGACYGAAGTTGTTCTGCCCCTTTTAATAGCACTTAATCTGGGCAGATGCAGTAAATGAGTTGTTATATAAAGAAGCAATGCTTGTGTTTAACCTAGTGAAATATGTCACTTTACAGAGCATTAGGAAAAGTGAACCCAAACCCAACCAACCAACCAACCAATCAAAACCACCCTCATCATCTAAAGACAAAAAAGAAAGGTTTTTTAAATAAATCTACTTTATTTTGTTCTATAGCTCAACAAACTATCATTTTATTCCTATATCCTAACGTGATGCTTTCCATTTCCCATTCAAGTATATATAGATTGTTACGACTGTCTTCAGAATTGTCAAATAAAAGGCCACCTTCTTAATTGAGAAGTGTTTACCATTGTTCAAAAATGGACCAGTTGTAATAATTGCTATTTTTTTAGATCTTTTGTACTATCATAATGTACAGAGTGAAAAATTGAAAGACACTTTGTAGTATTGATCATTGTCTCTCAAAAGCCAACTGGTTTTTGATTGAAGCTGAAGTTGATAGTTCTTAAAAAGACGAAGAAAAAAGCCTTTGAAGATACCACAATAAATTGCTCTGATATGCTGTTGATTGTACTTCAAAGTCTGTATAGCCTGAGACTGTAGTGGACTCTAGACAACCTCAGAGAAGCGCCCGCAGCTTTGATGCCAGGTGTTGGCAAGGCTTTCCTGGAAGGCAGGGCTCAGCCTCCCGAGTTTCTTTAGGTCTCTGGGAATTGCTGTTTCCAAAGGGGGCTATTCAGTCAAACTGCAGATATTTAACCCCTGGTGTTTTCGCCTCTGCTGCATTACTTTGATTTATGGATGTGCTATTGAATGAGGTGGTGGGGAACTTAGGAGAAATAGTTTTGTTGCATAGTAGGCTAAGTTGCCATATTTTAGTTATGCTTTTTTTTTTTTTTTTAATGAAGTTGTACAGTCAAATGAAACTGCTTTTCCTTTTCAGAAATAATGTGGTTTTGGCATTTATATTCTGATTTTGCTGTCACCGAGGCTGAAAAGGTTATATGGGTCACCAGTCGCAAAAGCAATGTTAGAACCATTCTGTGCTAATTAGCCGAAATACATCTCCTTACAGTGTGTTTTCTTGTATTTTTCTTGCAGCTGAACGAGATATCAATGTTTTCTGTGGAGTACAGACAATTACTATGAAGATAAATTTTTGCACAGTTCTCTTTTCTGGTTATTCTGAAACAGATTTGGCACTGAATGGGAAACATGGGGACGCTCACTGCAGGGGGTTCATCAATAACAACACCTTTCCAGCAGTGGTCATTTTCATCATCAATCTGAGTACTTTGGAATCCTGCGGAAATACTTTAGTGGTAAGACGAGATCCAAGTGAAATTGTAGCATTGCTCTTGGTGCACAGGGTTGAGTGTATGCCCTGGCAGCACTGTGTCTTACAGATGCTTGTGTGGTCTTGTTCAGTTTGCAGTATACTCTATATACCAGAGCAGAAAAAGTTGTTAATGTATCATCTTGGTTGCTTTGTTAATGTATCATCTTGGTTGCTAATTAAAAGATATGGTAGGAGATAAATTTGCCATTATTAGAAAGTATGGTTTTCATTGTTTTAAATTTTGGGGGAATTATTTTTTTTTCCTCTAAAAATGTAAACTTTTGCTGAGCATTTTTTTGTCTCAAATAACAATTGCCAAAATGTCTCAAATAACAATTTAGAAAATGAAAACAGTATTTTTAAGAGTGGGTTAAGTTTAATCAGGAACCTAGGTACCTATTTCCTTTCTCTGTGAGAGGGCCTTCCAGACAGACCTACAGTCTGTGGTAAGGCATTGATTTTGGGCTGAATATCACAAAAGGCAGACATAATCTGGCCAAATATCCAACCCTGCTAGGGCAAAAGCCCGCTGCAGGCATCACTGCCAGTAGTCCTATGAGATCATGCACCTCCAGGTAAGGTCTCAGGTCAAGATGACCTAGAAAAAATAGGAAATTTTGAATAAAATTTTGAATGTTGTTTGGCAAAACCATTAAGTGTGATCTAACTTATCCACTTGGTTCATGACAAAAACACCAAAAAGCAGAGCTGAAATTTCAGATTTATATGTTCAGCTCTGATTCTTCACTCGTATGCTGCTGCCATCTGTGCCAAGGTCTTTTGCCTGGTGGTGTGACTTCAGTGTCTGCATTTATATTGCTGCTTAATGTGCTGATAACAAACATCTTTATACTGCTAATGACCAAATATGATCTTTATCTGTAGATGAATTTTTAGAACCAGAATCTGTCCCGGAAACTGACTTCCAATATCTGTTTCCTACCGGTATAATAGCATTTTCTTCAGAGAACATATATCACTATGGATACTAAAAAAATGTGAAGTCTCAACCCTCCTAAAGCAAAGGAGGGGGCTGATTGTACAGTTTGTGTGTACATCACACACAGTGATGACTTGATGACTTKTAAGTTTTTTGTAGGTATTTCGATACAACTATAAAAATATATTATTTCTATGGCTCATTCCAGCTGGAATTTGTTGCCAAACCTAGATACTTGCCACTTTTCAAAATAACCTGCCTGCTTTAAGATTCTAAAACTATGTCAAACAGGGCTGAAATGTTCTGTGTTGCACTATGATGTATTAGTCTCGAAATGGACTTTCTTTTAGAACTCTAGTAGTTCAGGTAGTTCATTCTTTTTTTTTTTTTTTTTTCCCATTTTTTCTGGAAGGCTATAAAACCCCCATGACTTTGAGTAGAAAAGTGTGACAAACAGGAACCTTTTGATGTCTCTTTGGAGTTGACCACATAGTAAACTCCTGGAGTTTTCTATTTAATTATAAGAGATTGCTATTTAAAAGAAACAGTCAAAAACTTCTCTTCAGTCCAGCTAGGCAGATCTCTCTCTGAGGCCCCAACAGACTTCATAGAATACAATACAGTGGAGCAGCTGCTAAAAATAAAACAGATTTTCCTAGTCTTCTCCCTCAGCTTATGCAYGCTGTGCCGCAAGCAGAGGATGGAGGAGCAGGAAAGCTTTCTCTTCAGTTTCTGCAGACTGAAGTGTTACAAACATCTCACAACAAAAACCCATTTACCTTTTCATTACTTTTATGGAGAATTAATTTTCAGACAGAACTGAGGATAAACCCTAGATCTATAATATGGCAGGCACAAATTCTTATTTATGTGCAAGTGGAGGAAAGCTAGATAGAGCTGTAGTCAATTTTATTAATGCTCTAGACAGTTCTTTAAGCAAGAGGCAGATCCTAGGAGTTCTCTGTGTGTTTTTATTCATTTATTTTTTAAAAATAAAAAAATCAGAATGCCTGTCATGTATCCCATGCTACTCAGTTCCAAATGTTATGCCTCATGTACCCCTCAAAATGATTCTTCCACAACAAAGCATCTTTCTAAAGTTTAAGAAACTGCTAAGACGACCCCCCATGAACTGCAGGGCACAAAGGGAAGAGATGTAAATGGGCTAGAGGAAGACCTTCCACGAGTTGAGAAGGATTGGGTTAGGGATCACTTAGGCAAACTGGCCACTCAAAAATCTATGGGCCCAGATGGGATGCACCCAAGAGTGCTGAGGGAACTGGCCGAGGTTATTGCTCAGCCTCTCTCCATCATCTTTGAGAGGTCCTGGAGAGCAGGGGAGGTGCCCGAGGACTG